GCCCTTCAACACCTAGATCATTCCACCATAGCCGTAACTTGACAGGGATTTTAGTCATTATCGTAAAGCGTTCATTTTGCATTGTGCTCATCCTGCACATTTATTAAAGTGACTTAAGCAAAAATGATTTGACTCAAAAATGATTTGACTATATTTCAGAAAGAAAGATCCGATTTTCGAACACGACCTTTCAGCACTTTGGGGATGAAGATTTTAAGGCTGTGAGGGTCAACCGATCAAAACTCTAAAAGATGATCGAAAGTGGCCGTTTATGCAAAGTAAGCCTTCCACCGTCCCTTTCGGGAACATTTGGCTTTTTTTTGACAAAACAATCACTTGATTTATTTATGACTCTGTTTTTTTTAGAATGGTGACCCGACATTGGGAACATGACCTCGCAGAGCCTCGGGGACGAGGATCCTAAGGCCATTGGGCAATTTGGTCACAAAAAAAAATGACCAAAATGGCTATTTATGCAAAGTCAGCCTTCCGGCGTCCCTTTTCGGGAACATTCGGCTAATCTTGACAAACGGCATCACCTGACTCATAAATTAAAATTCTGACATTTTGGCTATTTCTAAAAAAAGGGAGGTTGGACCTGATGAAGGCTGCCTACGTATCTCACACCCTGCGAGAATCAAACCGGCGTAGTTCGGGCCGATCAGGAATAGGGGAAATAAACTAAACCCTTTTTTTTAATAAAACCTTTTAAAGAAAAGGAGAAAATATTTTTGTATTTTTTTTTGGTGTATTTTTTTTATATATTTTTTGAAAAGAAACGACAACTAAAGAAACATTTTGAATTTTACTTCTTTTCACTTTTTTTTTTTTGAAATTTCAAAAAATCTCTTAAGGAAATATTTGGATTATTAGTTTGAATTTATGAAAGAGATTCTACAAAAGGAAAAAAAAATATTTTTGAATTTTGAATTTTCTCTTCTTTTTTTTTTAATTTTAAACAATTATTTTTGAAAGCGATTGAAAGGAACTATATTTTTTGCATTATATATATATATATATATATATATATATATATATATATATAAAAGACAAATTTTGTTTTTATTTTTATTTATATTTTTTTAAAGAAAATTTCTGCGAGGTTTTGACACTACTTGGACATTGGTTTTAAAAATAAGTAGTTATCTCCCTACGCTGCTATTTTTCTTTTCTTCTAAAAAGAGATTTTTTTTTCTATGCAGAAACCGGTCAGCATGCAGATCTGAAGCAAATAAATGCGCAAAACAAACGGGATGCAACAGGATGGTCTTTTCATTTCGGGTTGCTTGTCCTAGACGGACCCAACCCCTGTGTTGAGTCCCCTATGTCAGATGCAACGTGATGCAAATAAGCGTTCCTACTAGGATCCGACATGAGGTTTTGTTATACTAGGTTCATCCTGGGTATATGTTCTAGACTGTGTACCCGAGCGGACAGCTCGAGTCGAGGAGGAGGCTACGTACCGGGGACACGCGAGATCGTCCGGCTTTGTAACTTGTTCGGCCTCTTTCTTACATACCAAAAGAAATAAGAGGCTGCAAAAAGCATGCAGTTTCTAGTGCAAATAAGCACCCAGGGAGACCAATATCAATATGATCGCGATTCCAAGTGTGGTGTTAGTAACAAAAAATAAGTTTAATGAACAAACACTTGCCTCGTTTCCTGTTTTGGCTGTTTTCTTGATCTCTGCAACTAACTTTTTCTCCTACAAGATGGTAAAATAAGAATTACATAAGTTAATAAATAAGAATATAACTAACACAGAAGAAAAAGATTGGGTACTGTAAGAATACTCAGAACATAATTGACCATAAATTGGCAAGAATACTCTGAACTAACTGAACAAACAACACTTGCATCATGTCTATGAACATTTTTCTAGTAACTTACCTCCATTTGTAAAGATGAAATCTCCCGCTCAATGCCTAAAAGTTAAACATGAACAAAGAAATGAACTGATGAAAGTACAAAAGAACCAAATAAAGAATGAGAAAGACAATACAAAGTGAAAAATGAAGTGAAATATACTAAACTTGCACACCAATTATCATATTCCAGCGCTCTATAACAACACAAAAGATAGCATGGAATACAAAGTTATCTTCTTGTTTACCAAAATAAGCTGATAACGGCTAAGTAAAAAGTATGAATGACATCCAACTATGACACATCCTCAACAAGGATAATTTTTTCCAAACACTGTTTAAAGCTTTTGGTGTTATCCAACTCCTTGCTTATGCAAATGACAATGAC